GTTGAGAACGAGCTGCTCGAACCTGTTGCCCAGGATCGCTCATTCATGTCTCAAAACCCTGGCTGCAACTTGTTTCAACCCACAAAGTACGCCATCTACCAAATCACACAACACGGAAAGGACGTCATCAATGGAACTAGCACCCGTGGCCGTCAATCAGAAAGCGAAGGTGGCAACCCTACGCCTCGCAATGGCATTAACCGAGACTCCAACACTCAACGTCTCGACAAGATCCTCACTGATGCAGCTCTGCGTCTACTCTTCCGCGAGTATCTTCGTGACACCCACTGCGAGGAGAACTTGTCGTTCTACATGGATGTGGATGACTTTGTCCGCTCTTGCAAGGCGGCTATTCGGCATGCCCTCAAGACCCAACCTCCTGCAGGCAAGAATGCGGCGCCGGGCGCTAATCAAAGCAACGCGTCGATGGACAGCGTCAAGGAGATCATGGCCCAGGCCTATGGTATTTACAATGCCTTCTTGGCCCCTGGCTCTCCCTGCGAGCTGAACATTGACCATCAACTTCGCAACAACCTGGCGACGAGGATGACCAAAGCTGTTGGCCAGGATGTCACCATGATTGAAACACTTCAGGAGGTTACGGAATTGTTCGAGGACGCCCAAAATGCCGTTTTCAAGCTGATGGCTAGCGTAAGTTTTTCTCTCCCGCCGCAACCGTTATCCGGTGTTGATACGGGGCTGACTGCTAACACATCTTTTTTCCAGGACTCCGTTCCCAAGTTCCTCCGCAGCCCGAAGTACGAGCAGCAGCTCCGCAACTACGAATTCGACAACATGGGCCGTGTGCCTGAGCGCAGCCAGAGCCGCTCAAACCGAAACTAAGCGACGTTCCCACTCAGTTGTAAAGAACACCTTCTACCGCTAAGCCATTTTCAGCTGGCAATCAACGACACGCATGATGACCTTTTCCTTTTCACCCCATTGTGTTGCCCTTAGACCATACCCGTGGCGAATGGATCTGGCTCTCCGGACGAGCACGAAAATACACATTTCATCCCTGACAAATATCAGGGAGTCAAGTCGTGCTCCAATCCGAGCGAGGCATCCGAGGAAGCCTGCTGTGAACGGGCTCAGCATGCAAATGCAAACCATTTTGCTCCCACCACTGGACATCTGTACGACATGGACGACCAAACCATAATAGATTCCCTCGCTTTATCTATCATGTGCATCATTGGTGTTGTTTGTTTTCAGTTTTTTTATTTATTTAGTTCTCTTCATCTCGATTTTTTTTTCTTTTGCTTCATGTCTTGGTGCTTGAAGCAACATCTCACGGCAGAAGAGAAGGATGGGACCGGCTCAATCGACCTCACGAGGCTGCTGCCGGCACCAAGCCCTGTGAACCGTGCAGATCTAATTGCCTGAGTTGCATTTTCATATTGTTTTGAGGAATTATGGAGGGCGGCTTAGTTTTAGGGCGTTGGCTGGAACGCTGGAATAGAGAGGAACGGGTAGTACCGAGGATTCTTCCGCTTGTTTGCAGTACAAAGCAGACGAGTCAAAAAAGGGAGGCAAATAATTGGATTGAAAGTTGGAGCCTGAAAGCAAAGCAAGTCTTATTTTCGTGAGAAGCAAGAAGCCTGTGTGGCCCGGATAGAGCTGGATTGCGCAGGACGGACGGAGAATGACTACTAGAGCTGAACTGTACAGTATTGGCAAGGGAGCTTGTTTATTGTGGCCGGCAGTGATATCCCGATCTTTGCTCTTTGGGAACCAACCCGCACGTCCGTCACGATTGGCTGAGGAGGAATCTTTGACCACAATGGGACTGTGAGACAGTTGTCGTGATATGGGAAGATCAAGGCGGAAGATGACGAGATTCTCAACTTTGAAGCATCTGTACTTAGTAGAAGTGGGCATTTCATCACAATCGAGAAGAAACTTGGATCAATCGAAATGAAAGCTGTGCAAGTAGGAATGAACCTCGACTTGGAGACCGGGAGATCGGGGCAGGTCTCAATGGCATTGGCACGCTGGGTAATCTGGCGATGGTGGTTTGGAATGACGGGAATAGGAATGCGACGGGGATCAACACAGCTCAATTGAGCTGAATCAGGAACACAACCAGTCCAGACCTGGCGATGGATGTGGATGAGATGGATCTCACAACACAGCGCTGCTTTCACCCACTGGTCTGTGTTTGTTTTCAGGCGTGTTCGTGACTCTGGCGTCGTCGCGCCCTCGACGACCGGAAACAGCATATAAGACCACACGCTGCTCTGCACTCAGAAGCATGTCTTTCATTCATTATCAGCATCTTACCCAGCCGGTTCTTCTCTACACTCGTTCAAACACCGCCGTCTTAATTTCGAATCTCTTTGATTCCAGCCACTCGCTCAACCAGAACACCGTTCTCACCCAAGACCTAATTTCATAATGCACGCCCAAGCCTTCCTCTCTCTGGCCCTCGCCGGCCTCGCTCTTGCCGCTCCCCAGGCCGGCCACCAAGGACCTCGTCCTACCCCGGAGCCCAACTGGAACTGGGGAAGCGAGCACCACAACAAGACCATCACCACCACCAAGACCCTCACGGCCTACACCACCTACTGCCCGGGACCTACCACCCTCCACTTCAACGGCAAGAAGTACACCGTGACCAAGGAGACCACGCTCACCATCACCGACTGCCCCTGCACCGTGACCGAGACTCACCCTCCCACCCACAGGCCTCACCACCCCACAACCGGCAGCCCACTGCCTCCCCCCAAGACCACGGGGAGCGCCGAGCAACCTTCCCAGACTGGCTCTGCTCCTCCTCCCTCCCAGCCCACTGCCAACCCGCCGGTCAACAACAACAGCCCTCCCTCGACCCCCAACACTCCCAACACTCCCAACACCCCCAACGTCAAGGTCTCTGGCGCCGAGGGCAGCAACACCAGGTTCGGCCTCGCCGTCGCCGCCGGTGCTGCCATCGCCGGTCTCATGGCCCTGTAATCGGGTCCCCGCGCTGGCGGGTGTCCAGGTCGACGCCCTTTCGTGGCCACGGCCACCACTTGCTTTCTCTCCCAGGGCTCTCTCGCCGAGTCGGCTCCCTGGTCCTTAATATTTCTTCTTCTCTTTGCTTTCATTCTTTCCACGAGGGGCGTTTTAAACATTTCTGATGTGGGCCGGTGTCCAAGCCGGGATAATGATTCTTTCTTCCCCCTTCTTGGGGGTGGTGACGTTCAATGGGTTGAATTCTTCTGGTTCGATAGATGGGGTTTTTCTTTTTTGTAACTTATGACCGCATATTTGGTGTTGTCGTATAGCTTCTTCATAACATCGCCTTGAGCAAAGGTCGAATATAAAGCTTTTTTTTCGCTCTACTCGTGTTGTACCTCGTTCGCTATGGTGACCCCTCGAGCTTTCATCTTTTAGAACCTTTATAGTGGATGGTGTCAACCCTTTCAGCGTGCCTGGATCTTGTTGTCGCCCGTTGCGTCCAGCTCGGAGAAGAACACAGGTGCGTGAGCCCTGTTCTGGACGTCCGGTGGTGCCGCCCACGGAGGAGGGGCTCGTTGGAACGCAGCAGTAGCATTTGGGATGCTGCCCTCGTTCCGGCCACCGCCGTATTGGACGCCGCCGTGCTGCTGCTGCTGCTGCTGCTGATGGTTCACCCCGAAAGGCGCAGCAGCAGCACCACCACTGGCTACTGCGGAATGTGTTCCAGCACCGGCATGGGGGGCAGATCCCAACGACGCAGCGGGGGGACCGCCGGCCGCCAGAGCCTTGCGTCCCATGGCCTCGACGACGGTGCCGTGCGCCTTGCTCAGCGTCTTCCTGACGAACCCGGCCATGAGGAAGTTACACCGGAAGTCGATGTCCTCGCGTATGTACAGCCCCGTGGCGGGGGCGCCCAGCCCGAGCTCCTGCGTCTCGGGCGGCTCGTGGGGGAGCCTGCCCCCCACCGACCACCTCTCGCGGAGGTCGAGCCCCATGGGCGCGTGGCAGTGCGTCTGCAGGCCGTCGGAGAGGTTGTGGAAGGCGGCGGTGTAGGAGACCTCGCCGGAGAGGAGGTCGGACCCGGGGATGTAGGAGATCTTGTCGGTGATGGAGTACCAGGCGCAGCTGTGCTCGTCCGGCTCGGCGTGGTCCGGGGCGGGGATGGCGTGGCGCTCGATGACGAGGGGGTTAAGGTCGATCATCTCGAGGTGGTTGTGCAGGAAGTCGAGGGCGGTCTCGCGCGACACCGAGGGCGGTAAGGGGGAGATGTTTGTGAAGGTGGTGCGCTTCAGCATGGTGGCGGTTGTGGGTGTCACGACCCGATGGCGGAGGTGAGGTTGCTTGAAGTGGGCGTTGTGGCTGGGTGGGAACTTGGAGAGCCTTGTTGTGTTTTCTTTGGGCGAGGTGAGGATAGAGATGTGGTAGTTTCCAGCTCGTTTATGCTTGATCGCCAGCTAACGAAAAGGGCGGGCGATGTTGGGATATATGGCGTCTGAGGAGGGAGCTTGGGCTTGGGGCTAGTCTGTCTCGGCCTCTAGGGTTGCATGGACGTGAGTTGTCTGTCGATCAATAGCGACCCAGCTAATTCATGTGGAGGGTGAAGTGCAGCCGAGACCAGCGTACAACCGCCATGAGGCTGATGAAGCTAGAACCGATATATATTCACTAACGTTTCTCGAATCGCCTCGGTCAGCGCCGTCCTGTTCCAGGTGGGCGCTAGCATCCGCTTCGGGGTGATGATGATCCCAAGAATAGCTCTAGCATCGCTTAATCATGCTCTGAGCATAAGCCACATTCTCACCCGCCTCCGACGTGGTGTTTGCTGACCGTGAGCGACAGCGGTCCGCCCTCAGGGACGAATGAAGTCAAACCAGGTTGCCGGATATCCAGTTGACCCCTACCGTGATCTGTTTGAATTTCCTAATTGAATATATTCGCCCCTTCAGCTGACTATAGCCGGCGGGTGTTTTGTCTAATTAATATATCATCATGTCTTTGAATACCCTCTCACACAGCACGTCTATATAAAGTTTTCAATCATAACCACAGAGACCTCTTTACAGCTCCTTGCACCACTTGGCCTGGACCGTACTGAGTTTCACAGCCCAGGGAATCTCCTCGAGGGCCACATCCAGCTTCCACATTCTCCCTTCCAAGCCACCATGACTCATCGCTTTCCCTCCACCGACAGCTGACGGCACCAGCAACCCTAACGTGATTAACCTTTCCCAGGCGATTCCGGCAATGCCTCTGCTCCAGACACCCACCCCACCACCAACCGCAAGCATTCCCGAAGCGGCCGACTGCACACGCTGTCTGCCCACCAGCGAGCTGTACTCGTCGTAAGCCATGGCAAAGTTGACCGTGTCAGTGTGTGCCACAATGTCCAGTCGTGCCGCAGCTATTACCAGGCTCAGTTCCAGATCTGAGAGCGCTGAAAGGAGGGGCATCCGCGAGTCCGGCGGTGCTAATGATGTAAAGTCTGCGGCCACGGCTGGCGTGTCAATGACCAGGTTGGTGCTCGATAGGAGCGACAGGGGAAGGACCCAGTCGTTGAAAAACGCTGCCGCAGACTTGGTCGTATAGTAATGGTACTGGAGTAGTTCTTGGAATGATTTTTGCTTATATAATTCCTGCTCAAATATTAATCGCCCGCCGCCAGAAAAGAGAAAATTAGACATGTGCTTGCACTTACATCAATTTTCTGACTCCAGTACTTGTGGAACTCGCTGTAGCCCTCCATGTTGATGTCGATTCCTTCCTTCTGGGCATCCTTTCTTTCGACAATGAGCCCTTGTCGGCAAACTTGCCAGAAAGCGGGTAAGCTTTTAGGCAGCGTGAGGTAGATGTAACGATGGCTGAATCGACTCTTGACTCTCTTTTCCAGCAGTTCCACTATGTCAAGTCGGGTAGTACATCCTAGGACAGCGATCGGAGCTTTACGCGATTGCGCAATATCAAACAAGTTGTATAGTAGAGTTTGACGTGGATGTGAGGCAAACATGTCGAACTCATCAAGAATGAAGACAATGGATTGTGAGGTCAGTCCCTCATCTGTTCCCATAATTTCTGAAGGATGTGAAAGAAGTGCCAGTAACGAGGCCATGGTGTCGGCATAGTTGGTCTAGAAGAGGCGATGATGTTAGTCAATTTATTCTCTCGATAGAGTATAAAATGTCTGTAGCTTACTCTGTTTGCAATATCGTCCTCGACCTGCATCTCCTTTCCAAGCTGGCGCCAAATTTCTCTCAGAGCAAGTTTATCGTCAGTGTGAATGAACCCATTTAACCTCACGACGTGGAAATCCCGCCCGTGGTCCTTTGATAAATCTGCAATGATGTTCTCCAGCAACTGCTGCTTATCAGTCATAAATTCCTAGCCTTTGAAAAGAAGCACATACCGTTGTTTTCCCACTGCCCCTGGCACCGATAAGGAGCATCGAGTTTCCCTCACCGGCAACTACAGTCTGTTCGATGAGCTGGTGCGCCTTCTCGTGTACATCTTGGAGCCCAAATATTTCAATCCGTCGCTGGCCCGTACATCGGTCTATCAACACCCGCTGATAGGACCGTAAATGGTGGTCGAAATTAGGAATCGCAGGTACATCAACTGCTTCAACGGGTGCCGTTGCAATCGTCGTGGGTACCACTGCCGCTTCTGGTCGAGGCACAAGCGCATCTTCCTGTGAACACGCCTTGCACAGCCAGTCGCCTTCGGGGATCTCCAGGATCCCGTAGCATTCTTGATGGACAGCATAATCGCAGTTTTCGCAGAGGACAATCTGATTCGGCGCCTTGGAGTGCGGTTTGTAGCACATCCCACAGACAATCTCATTCGTCACCACCGGCTGCGCCTTGGGCTTGCGTGGGCTCGCCGTCTTTTTGGTCGGCGATGTCTTGGGTAGGTCGTCGAAGAAGACCTCGCCATCGATCCTGTTGTCGAATTTGACGCTCTTTGGCGTCTGGTTTCTGTTCTTCGAGGGCGTCAGGATCGATTTAGGAGCTGGAGAGCCTGCGGTCGAGCCAAACAGCCTCTTCCCCGGCGTCTGTTTGATCGGTGTCCCCACATTGTCGCTGGTCAGCTCGTCCTCCGACAACTCATTGTCTATCGCGTCGCGAGTCGTCGCTATCTTTTTCACGGTCGAGCGTGGCTTGGTCGGGGTATCGTCGAGTCGCGGCTGTCTTTTCCTCCCTGGCGTTCCCTTGGGTGTCCCCTTGGGTGTTCCTCTGCCTCGTTGCTTCGCGGGTGATCCCTTAGATGGAGAAGCAAGCAAGCGAGGCTTCTCCTCATTGTCCCAGATTGTCCCACGAAGCGCCTTCAACTTGATCGCAGGGCGAACTGCCGGCTTCGGTGCCTCATTAGTGCCACTCGAGGCTGATGGACTCGCCGCCCCGTTCGACGCCGCCTGATCTGTCCGGCCGAAGCCAAAATAATTGGAAATTTTCGATGTAATCGCATTAAAGGCTCCTTGCGCGGACGGGGATTCGTTGGCGGAGCTGTTCAGTTTGCGCTTCTTGGCCGTCGACGGGGTTACCGATAAGGGGTCGGCAGCTCGCTTCTCTCCAGTAGGCGTTGCATTTTCCTGATTTATTTCTGACATATGGGATTGATTTGAGCCGTGCAGAGGGTCTGTTGATTAGATTATGGCGTATGTTGTGGTTGTTGATCTTGCCGAGTCGCCATTTCCTGGGTTGCTGGGATGAGCACCGGGTAGGTCGTCTAAATTTCTGGTTGATCAACCAACGCGTGTAGACGCGTTAAGTGCTTAACCCCTTGTACGGCGCGCTATCAGGTGTCCAACTCCACTGGAGCTTTGCTAACCTGGAGTATTGAACAGCCTTTAAGCTCGACCACACAACCATCCTACAACCAAGTTGCCAGGAAAAAGACAACTATACAAAACTTGAAGCAAGGATCGAACAACGTGCTTCTCATTTATGACTATTACAATTGCTGCGTCATTTCCTCCTCCGAGTCTAGCCTTGGATGTCATCAGATGACAAGCCACTCGTATACCATCAACCTGATTGTCTACTTTCCCAGCGGTGTCCGTCCTTGGCCGGATGATGCTAACCTTCATCCTCTTGTAACTCCTCACTCCCTTGATTGATTGTCTCCTCGCGTAGAAGAGTTCCCGTACGGCTTCTACCATGATACACACACAGTCCACCTCGGCCCCCCTGTCGTGATTGATTTGCAGGACATAATGGGCTGCCTGGTAAATGCTCTGGGACATCAAACTCAAAGGTCCCCGGAACTCGGGATGTGTCTTTCTTGACAACTCGACGGGGAGGTTGTTCCCACCATTCACGTGGCGGCGCATTTAGGCTACGGCGGTGAATGTCACTACGTGAAAGTGCATGGTGTCGAGATTGCAGCGAGTCTGTCTCAGGTCCCCCATCTGTAGGGGGAATTGAGCAGGTAAAGAATCCTCGAGCTTTCCCGTCAGCCGTGTCTTCGTCTAGTGGTGGAGTCGCTATTCTTTGGGCTTCCTAATCAGACTTTGTTTAGCAACCAAGTTAATAGTTGTGACAAATGGCAACATACTCCGCCTGGAAACTGGTTGTTGATGGAGTGCGTGCTATCTGGATATCAAATTAGTCTATGCGCAATCCGTGACTCATAATACCGCAACTCACAATGTGCAGTATATCCAGAGACTGGCGTGCCTGGAGGCGTTGAGCCTCTGAGGATCTCCCTCACCGAACTGGCCACGCTACTGCAGGAGTCTCCAGACTCTTTCCGATGCCAAGGGGCTTTGCCGAAGAAAATTTTCTTGGAGAACTTCGAAGTTCCATGTTCATCTTTGAACCAGGAAGTTGACTTACCGTTGAGTTGGGCTAGCCTATCGATGGGAATTTGGCAACATCCTTTTGCGCCTGCCGCTGTATTGTGGGCTGGCTACACGCAGTCTTTTAGATTCCAAGTCTCGAGTATTGCTTTTAACTAGCTTACATCTTGATCGACATCATGCTTCGCTCTGAAACGAGACTCGAAGGTTTTAAGAGTTTTCCTGTATAGATTTTTCGGCGAGTAGGCAGACGTTTCGGCTAAAGTTGGCGATGGTTTCCGGATAAGAGTCTCTGATGATGACTTCCGTGATAGAGTCTCTTCTATGCTGTCCTCAATGGGCGAGGCGGATTCCGTCGTTTTAGTCTCATTTAGCCTGCTCTCTTTAATCTCATTCAGCCTACTCTCTCGGCGTTTGAGTGGGTTTTGCAGCAAGAATATATGATCAGACTCTGTAAGATATGGGCTCATTGGAGTTCCAGGTGCAGTTTGAAACATCTGTTTGGATGTAGGTGGAAGCTGCAGTATAGGCTGGTCTTGTATGTCTGCCTCACTTGTGGATTTGGTAGAGCGATTTCGCCAGTTCCAGAAGCGGCTGCCTGTGCTTCCTTTCCGGTGGAGGGGAGAGGTAGGTCGCTCTGCCCAGTACCCATCAGGATACCAGACCTACTCGAAACCTTCTCGAGCTGGGCGAGGCGGATCGACTCCAAAGGATTGCAAAGGAGGCGTTGTGAGCCGTTGAAATGGACCGGCACTTGTCGACGATTTTCGTAAGGAAGATCGAGAGTTAGCCATCGCCCCTGGCCATGAATCATGCGTAGCTAGGCCACTGGTAGTAGAACATATAGGAGGTGTCTTGGCTTTAGGTGGAGGAGTATGGCTCCGGGCTTGGAGCGGATCAGGTACATCAAGCTGAAAGTAGCTGGAAGATGTTAGCACTTATTTAGGTAGCTGAGGGTCTGGAAAATGGAAATGAGCATGCCTAGTATCTCCGGTATACGGCGTTTTTGAAGGGGTCGACCAAGGACTCAAGGAGCACGACATAGTTACTCCTGAGGAGGATGCTCAGGGGCTTATTTGGATGGTCGTCTTGTCGTTGTCGGCCGGTTGTTGCTCCCTTCTCAGTGGACATCCTGATAGATAGAGATCAGCCGTAGGTAGTTAGTTACAAGAGGAGAAATAAAAGGAAATAAATGTAGGTATTCATAGGGGAAACGTTGTAAAGAATATTAAGTTAGCGATAGGGTTGATGAACAAGCGAGAGTGTTTGTTGCAAGTCTCAGGCATGGGCAGTCAGCACTGAGAGAACCAAGTAGTTATCTTGAGGGTAGGTGCTTTCCTGCCAAGTCTGTTCTTTCATAATAGGTAGGTAGGTGGGTAGTTCCTGCCTTAATAGAGGACAAATAGTTGGGAGCGAGTAAAGTGCATTGTCACCGCGTGATTTGGTCATTGAGAACCATTCCTTCGTCATTGTGGGATGCGGGAGCATCAAAGTCAGGATAAATGCGATTGACATCTATTGAAAAAGTGAATAAATAAGTGAATATGGATGAACCACCTAGAGAGTCTAATACTCTAGGAAGGAGAAGCAATCGTAAATCGTCGGCTAAGAAACTCCAAACGCCCTTGATGATGATATCCTCGATACATTCGTGCCTCCCTTTTCCCTTTCCTAATCCATGATCATGGTATCGTCTCCATCCAAGGCCATTGCTGGCTGTTCAAGCGGCACTCCTCGTCCTCTGCCAGCAAGCAGCTCTCGCCTGACCTCAGGTCCAATAGCGCTGTGACCATGGCTCAGAAGAAGATCTAGCAGAGACTCGCGCTGATCCTCGGTAATATCTCCCTTATATCGTTGAGCAAAGGCTAGCAAGCTCTGGTGCCAGATCACAGGCAGCTTCGTCTTGGCATCTCCCTCACGCTCAATGCCATCCATGGCGTCCCCATTCCTGACCGAGGCAGGATCGACGCTTCTGAATCGCAGGAAGTGGAACACGAGTGCATCAATAACTTGGTATGGAAGAGCGTACTTCTTCTCAAGCAGCGTCTTGATGAAGATGTTGGTTGCACCACCTCCCTCGGTACCTTGTGAAGCCTCTTGGGCCGCGATGTCGCAAAGACCTTTGAGAGCAGCTGCGGAATGCAGGACGGGGATGGAGATCCTTGCAAGGACAGCTGAAATAATGTGTGCCTCACGGAGCGTGCAGCTTCCGCTGCCAACTAGAGGGAAAAGGAAGCCCTTGAAGAAAGCTGCGGGCTTGTAAAGCGCCTTCTTTAGACTGTTGAACAGATGCACGTTGAGCTTCTTATTCTCATAGATGTCCTCCCGGACCTTTTCCAGAACGACAATTTCGAGGAATCGCTGCACGACATGTGGCTTGCTGGACACGAATATTCTCGTCGCTTGGTAGCAGGCGTTTGGCGACCAGCTCTCAGGTTGTGTGACTTCGATGATATCCTCCCAGTGGGGGATGGTCGGTAGGATTTTAAAGGGCTTTGGTAGAGGTCCGGACTTATAGCGGGAAAGGATCTGTCCGACCCTACAAGAAGAAGTTGTTAGCAACCGGAAAAGGCATACGCCATGATTTGACTAGCAAAAGAACATACTTTGTATAGACCTCCACGACCTTTGGTGGCAGTTCGTAGTCTTCATCTGGTACTCCGACGGCCTTTCTAGCCTCACCAGCTTCATGCTGGGCAATCTTTTCCAGGATCAAATCAGCCAGGTTAATGGTCTCGCTCTCTTGCTCGTCGCCAGTTGGCCGGCGATCCCAGCCATGCTTTAACAGATCGTCCTCTTCATCTGGCATGAACTTCTTATAGGTCTCGAGGTCCTCGGGGTCGACCTCGATCTCTTCCACAACCTCATCCTCGTCGCCCCAGGCCTCGTCGTCGTCGCCATAGACTTGGTTCTCCTCCTCGGGCCCGTCCTCAAAGCGGGAGTCGTAGCCGAAGTTGTCAATTGTGGCAGACTGGGGCTGAGCTCGTGTCTCTGCGTCCTCTTCATCCAGCTGGCGACCGATGCGTAGGATATTCTTCGAAGCTTTGGAATCCACATAGTGCTCGTCATTCTCGTCGCGGTCCTTGGACTTTCTCTTCCCAGGCTTGGTTCGTAGGACACCAGTCGCAATGACATCTTCTTCAAGGGGATTGTGGCGCCGACCCTGGCGGCCGGCGGTGGGAGTTGTAGCCTTTGGCATTGTGTTTTTTTTTGTTGATTTACTGGCTATAACAGCGCAAAGAGGAATTCGAGGGCTACATACAATTCTGACTTATCCGGCCGATTGTGTGGCAGAATTATCAAAAATTTTGTTCTTATCGATCTGCCACCCCTCTTTCTTATCTAGGCTTAGCTTGATACATTTGTACTTTTCACCGCCTCCGGAGCTCTTATAGAGGATGAACCCTTCTGGTTTGTAGGTAGGTATTTTTCAAGAAATTGAATAGTTAGGTATACATACGAGCCTTTTCATCTAAATTGAAATATTACCTGAGAGAAATTTTTAAGATCGAATTTCTCTAGAAATATTCAGGACGAGCCCAAAACGCCTGCCACATGGGGGAACCTGACATAGAGTAAGCCGATTTCCATCTCTTTCTAGCACAGAAACGTGAGAATATCTTAAGGTGAGTCTTGAATATAAATATCCCTAGGTGAAAACGATAGAACAAAGTCGATAGAATTGGAAGATTGAGATCCTTTCCCTGCCTCCGTGGGAACTTATGACGCTGTAATATCCACTGAAATGCTGGTCATCTCGCCGCCTGGAATAGACCCTTAACCCCACTATGACTGACTTGCCGGTGCCCCTCCATCTTTATCGTCATTTATAAAACTTCTGCAGAGCCCGCGGCGCATTTCGAGTGATAGACGGCGACTCGTCAATAACCTCCTATCTGTAAATATTTTCGGTGGAAAAACAAAGACAAAATGCCTACTGAACTAGAAGAGGTGAGACAGTGCCCATGAATACTGTCCGAGAAATTCAAAGACTGATTTCAAAATTTCAATCTAGTTGGTGGGGTTCATCGCCAGTCCCAACATCAACATTCGCGCTCTCGCTGTTGAAAATTTGGTGCCATACTCGACAGCGGAGCCTTCCATCTTCAAGGCAGACAAGTTACAGCCTGTAAAGCACCTGAAGTTCCTGATCAAGGATCATCCCGTAAGTTTTGTCATAACCCCCTTACAAGCGCTTCTATGCGCCCGCGCAGACAAAGTGCTGACCAGGATTATGATTAGAAAATCGCTGAAAATGCAGCCACTATACTGGTCAACCTCACAGGCGACCCTGAGGTTCTAGAGGCCGTAGCAACCGACGAGAAATTCCTCGAGGTTGTCTTCTCGTATATAATCGTAAGCAAACTCCTTAAAGTGGTGAAATCGTTTTGGTCTAACAAACCCCCCCAGAACCCTGAAGAGCCCAATGCAAACTTACTAGCCATGCTCCTGGCCAACCTCGCAAAATGGGACGGCCTCAAGAGCACGCTGCAGAGGAAGCAGACCGCCCCGGAGGCCCTGGGCTCCGACGACAACGCGCTGAACCAGCTCATGGACCTCTTCGTCAAGGGCCAGGACGGCGGCTACAACAAGAAGGCCGACTTCGACTACCTCGCCTACGTCTTCGCCGACCTGTCCAAGCACGCCGAGATCAGGCAGTACTTCCTCGCGCCCCAGAGTTACGACGGCGTCGTGCCGCTGTCCAAGCTCAAGGTCTTCACCGAGCACAAGTCCGATATCCGCCGCAAGGGCGTCGCCAGCACGATCAAGAACGTGGCGTTCGAGGTCTCGTCCCACCCGGCCTTCTTCTCGGAGAGCGAGATCAACATCCTGCCCTATATCCTCCTGCCCATCATGGGGAGTGAGGAGTACGACGAGGATGAGATGCTGGATTTCCTGCCGGATCTGCAGCTCCTGCCGGAAGATAAGAAGCGGGATAGCGACAACAGCATTGTCCAGACTCACGTGGAGACGCTGATGCTCTTCACAACTACGCGGGAGGGAAGAGAGCTGTTGCGGCAGATCAAGGTGTACCCCATCGTTCGAGAAACACATTCACGGGTCGAGGACGCAGATGTCAAGGAGGCGTGCGACCGGTTAGTGCAGGTGCTCATGCGAGACGAGGAGGAACCCGGAAAGGAGGGAGAAATCACTGGAGACGAGCGCGTTAAGGACGTCACTGAGGAGGAGGAAGGAGAGGATGAATTAGTAGAAGTCTGATATTAAATGAAAGTGAAGACAAAAGTTATTTTTTTGCTCATTACAAAAGCATGTGTAGATATATAAACGAGAGTCCGTATAAAAATGCCGTTGCCCAAAATAAACCAAAAGTAACATAGTTCCAAATTGAATCGTGAAATCCATGACAGCATCCATCGTGAACCGTAACAGTAACCATGCATCATCAACAAATTTCGGTATCCAGCCAGGGGTATCTCCCCAGCTCGCTTGCTATAAATGAGGGAATGAAACGAATAAAAAGAGCAAATGACGCCCCTCCACCAAACCCGTGCACCGGCCCTAACTACTTACAAGATGTGACTTCAGCGCCTGTCTCCCAGATCCTCCTCGTGCTCACGGAACACGCTCGGTCTGGTCTGACCCGGAGAGCCGGAGGGCCGTGCCGAAATATAGTCCTGCCCGACCACATCACCGGCTGTTGGCGGAGATATGGGCGACAGCTGTGTTTGCTCAGACTCTGTCCTGCCAACGGCCGGCCTGTCATCGTCCTTCTCTACCGGACCGAACCTGGCCAGTTCTTCGTGGATTGATCTCATACCCTGCCTGTCGCCAAACTGCTCCGGAGAGACGGGGATGGCGGGTGACTCAGGCGACTCGGCACGCGAGTGAGCATCAGCATACCCCGCGACGGAAGATCTGGGGGATGAGCTGTACAACTCGGAGGGACCCGACGGCGAGTTAGATCTTGCGGCGGCGGCTGCAGATAAGGGGTTGTCTCCAAGCTCGGCAGGCGGGGATGTATCTAAAAGAGCAACTGGGTTAGCAAACCATATCTCCATCGAAGCAGGGAAACATTGTCCTGTCTCTACTCACCACCTAGTTCAGCAATAGGGTTTCCTCCCATCTCGGAGAATTGGGTAGGCTCTGGCGACGAGGTTGGCACAGTGGCA